ATCTAAATTTTAATACTTGGTACAAAGATATATCAAGTTTTATTAGTCCAATTGACTTGAATTTTTTACAATATGTTTAAAACACTAGTGTCAAACAAAATGTAACAAAATCAGCACAAAATGTACCGAATGTACCAATATCAGCATTAATGTACAACAAGTTAATGTACGACAAAATGTACCAATATCAGCATTAATGTACAACAAATTAATGTGCAACAAAATGTACCAAAATCAGCATTATTCTGCAAAAGAAAAGACAGTTATTGATAGTTTGGTCTGTTTTATTTATCATAAAATTGATACACTTTAAGAAAAATACCATAAAAATTTAAATAAAATTTTTCTTTTTACCACTTTGGTACATATTGTTAACACCCGTGTACAAATGCTACCTGCAAAATTTGATACCAATCGGACTATGCAATATAGAGTTATCTTTGTACCATCGTAAGGTCCTTTTTTTCCTTTTTTTTTATAGTTTTTTCAATACAAAAAAATTATTTAAATAGTAAAAAACCTTCTACAGTACATTAAAAAAAAATAGTTTGAAGGGGGATCTATCACCTCAAAGACTCTTCAAATGAACAAAGCTTCAAATGAACTATTAGCAAACTTATGGCATAAATACAACAAAACTGAGACAATGTAGTCTAAATAAATTACGTCAATCGTCTGATAATTTATTTAAATTAAACAGTTTAATACATTATTTATTTGTAAAAATAAAGTATTACAGAAAATACTAAGCAAAAACATTTTAATTCAAAATAATTCTGCGAAAAACAAGATTTCATTCAGAAAATAGGATATGTTTCTGTTGTGTCAATAAACACAAAAATTAAAGACTTAAAGGTTAATCAAAATACTCCAAAATTTACAATGTTAGGACCAATGAAGGAAATAAGAAAAGATATAGGAGAAACACCCTCCCCTCCTCCGTAAAGTCGTAATGTATTGAAACCCTGAGGAGGTTTAAAGAAGGTTCTTCGTTGCTTTTTAAATTGTTAAACACTTTTCAAAACTTTTTTTATACTATTAGCTCAAGTGGGAGACATTAAACTTGATTATCTATTATCTACGTTAGATATCTACATGATATCAAGAGATAATATGTTATGATTATTTTTTTTGATGAATAGTGTTTGATTTAATGATGATGAATAATTTATTTATTTTTGATTTGATGATGATGAATATTTACTTGCTGAATATTAATTCGGGATGAGACTTGATATATCCTGAAAAAAGAAATTAGATAAGTTTGTGGAGTTCATGCTTCATTTAAAAATATATGTTTAGAATGTATTCGCAAAGAAGACTTCATTTGAAGCTTCATTTAATCAAGTTCAATTTCAAGCTTTATTTTGACAGAAAATTAGATCGTTACATCAAAACAATCATCTAAAAAAATCCATAACATTGAGCCATAAGTAATTAGAGCCATTTTAGATGTAAAGTGACAACCTTAAAAGGAAGTTCAATATTATAGGTAGAATATCATTATTGTAGATAAGAAACAAAACAGGACCAAGGATAGTACCTTGAGGTACCCCAGAAGGTAATGGAAATAAAGAATAGTGTTGACCTTTAACTATGGCTTTGATAAAAAGGTTAGAAAGAAATAATTTGATAATCTCAAAAAAATTTTTGAGATACACATAATATAAATTTTTACACTTTAATACACATAATATAAAACAAAATAGAGAAGACTAACGTGCCATTTTTTATCAAAAGCTTCAGATCAAAGTCCTCGCCGCCTCTATCTTACGTACGATAAAATCTTTTAATCGCAGTAATTAGCAAGTCATTCTAAAAGAAAAAAGAATGAAAACCGCAACGTGTAACGCAATTTTTATCTGTTGCAAAAGGTCTTATAAGAAATGGACTTCGCTTTTGCCAGCCTGCTACCATAGTTCATTTATTTAATTCTTTAGCTGTTCCAACGTTGTTATACGGATTAGAACTGTGTGGAAGCAGCAATAAGTTTCTAAATAGCATTGATATAGCTGGACGATCTGTCTTAAAATCCTTCTTTAATATTTCAAAGCAAAGTAGAAATTATCTACATTCTTATTTCAAAGTAGACGCTGTGTCAGACATTCTTTTTCGCAACAAGTTAAATCTATTTATCAGGCTTTTAAACAACCCCATATGTTACTCGATTATACGGACTCAGATGCCTTTAATGAATCAACGATCATTTGTGGGTGAGGTAATGATAATGTGTAAGAAAGCTGATATAAACATGCTCCAATTTATGATCGAGGGTAAGAAAATTATAATTGCACGCCCTCAGGAAGCATTGGAGGCCAATGTTGCGGCGATCTTAAAACAATCGTTCCAACACTGGAATTTAAAGGAACAAAGAGAAGTATTTAGAACGCTGATGGAGGAAAACATTCCAAGAACGATGCAAGAAAATACTTAAATGTGCTTTGTTTTTTTTTAATACTTTTACCTATAGTTTATGTAATTATTGGGTGTTTAAAAGAATAAATATATTAATTGTCTGACAGTAAGTTAATCGACTCATGATGGGATGTTAGAAATTTGTCAATCAAATGTTTAAAGGCCTTGCTAATAACAAGAAAAAGACTGATAAAAATAGGTAGAGGGATAAGAATGTTCACGCTTCTTTTCTAACCAATTTTACTGATGTGACCCCTTGGTTCCAAGCCAGAAACTGTACCACTGGGTCACTGCTTTTATGAAATTTAATTAACTCTAAGTTAAAAATATATTTAAAAATATATAAAAGAGATTGTCTTTAAAGCGTTTTTTAGGTGTCACATTTTTATCTAATATGTCTCCGGAATTTGCATAAAAATGTGGCGCAGTGGTTACAGTTTTGGCTCAGAACCAAAAGATCCTAGGCTCGAATCCGGCTGTAGTTAAATGATATTCCAGGGTGCTCTGTCATAAGACCGATTGGACTTTTTGAAGCATCTTTATAAAAAAATTTTGCTTATTTAAAGGCAATGAAACTTATATACAGGGCCGTCCCGAGGTGGGTGTAGGGATGTCTAACCCCTAAAAAGAAAATAGTTGCGAATTTTGGATCTATAGTAGGCAGTCGGCATATGTTAGCAAACGAGGAATTTTCTTTTTCTTTTTTTTTTTAGTCGGCAAAAAAAAAATTCTAGGCCTTAGTCGGCAATAAGCAGATACATCACCACCTCCCCCTCCTCCCTTTGTAATCTTTTCGGAAAAGCCCTGCTTATAGATAAAAGAACTTTTCGAAATTGCCATGCCAGCAATATTTTTATCATTCAAAAGGTAGATATGCCATCAAAAAACTTATGTAAAGTTTAAGTGAAAAAGTTGCTAATAAGACAATCTGAGGACCTTCTTTTTTTTAAAAGAAGTTAATGATTTTGATGAAGAAATCGGTGAATTTTTTTTTTAAATGAGGTAGTGGAGGCACACTACCTCTTTTTAAAAAAATTCACCGATTTCTTTAAAAACCATGCCTTTGGCCCTGCGAAAACTGTTGATTTCTCGTCTGACTTCCCAAATTTCATAGGAAAATTGTCTATGTTGGTTAAAATAAATTGGTTTAAACGTTTATTTATTGTAAACTATCATTTAGCAAAAACCTTGTTCAATATTGACCTACGCAAAGTAAATAACTTTTATTCATTTTTCGTAATTAAAATTGCGAAAAATTTATCTTTCTCTTGCGTTCTAAGCAATAAAAAAAAGCAATTACTTGTTTTTTTTATCTTTCTTTTTCTCTTTCTTTTTTTCGTATTCTCGTATTATTTCGTTTTACTTTACGGTTTTTATATCTGTATAAATCAGTTTCCTTTTTGCAATCTTATCTGCTATCAATGTTTTACAATATAGTATAGCAAAAGTATGTTCAAAAACGTATTTTTAGTGAGACACGTCTTGATTTAGTACATAGAAGTTATGAACTTCTGAAACTATTAAGAAGTTTAATGGTTCAAGTACTATTTTTTATCTGGGTAATAAAATTTAAAGTAACACTAAAACAAAATTTTTTATTATTTATTAGTTACAGCACCTAAAGGTTATGTTTGTTAAAAATATTTTCAAAAATACCCGGAGCTGAGTTTATCAACAAAATGGCCGATACCGGATACCTGGTAAAAACACCGAATAACCGGGTCCCCAAGTCCAAACCGGGTACCCTGCACATCTCAAAATTTAACACCATTATCTTTTTTAAGTTTTTACTATTTGTTTTTATCTAATTACCAGCTATCTGATCATCTATCAATTATCAGCCATCTGATCATCTATCAATTACCAGCCATCTGATTATCTATCAATTACCAGTCATCTAATCATCTATCGATTACAAGCCATCTGATCATCTATTGATTACCAGTCATTTGATCATCTATCGATTACCAGTCATCTGATCATCAATCGATTACCAGTCATCTGATTATCAATTGATTACCAGCCATCTGATTATCTATCAATTACCAGTCATCTAATCATCTATCGATTACCAGCCATCTGATCATCTATTGATTACCAGCCATCTGATCATCTATCGATTAGCAGTCATCTGATCATCTATCGATTAGCAGTCATCTGATCATCTATCGATTAGCAGTCATCTGATCATCTATCGATTAGCAGTCATCTGATCATCAATCAATTACCTGCCATCTGATCATCTATTGATTATAATAAACAATAACAAAGAAAAAACTTACTATAAAGAAGAAATGACAATAGAAGAAAACCTCAAAACCTTTCTCAATACTTGTTGTCAACCTTCCATCGACACTTTTTGTCACTCGTCTATTGACACTTTTTGTTGCCCTTACTTCAAAAAATTGTTAAGTATTTTTTTTTTCTAGTTAAAGAGATATAATATTATGAAACTGATTTAAAATTAAGTAGTTATAAATCTATTTTTTATTATTTTGGAACATCTAAACAATTATTAGTATTTTTCTGTTTTAAGAACTAAGTTTGTTTTAAAAACTTGACCGTTTCTGAAATTTTATTTGTAGGGTTTAATTTAACTGCAAAAGATTACGACACAGAAGAAAAAAAGATAAAAGTAATGCATAAATTCATCGAAGCTTTAAAGTTTTCATACGCCAGGAGACCATTATTGGGTGATCCTGGTTTCGTAAATACAACGGAGGTACGAAATTTAAAAATATTGCGTAGGTATTAAGTTTTGAGAATATTCCAGGGTTTTATAACCATAAGATTATACTTAAATAAAGTTCAACAAACCGCCAGCAAAGGTCATATGTCAAATTTCTGTGCTCTCCAAGAAAATTGAATTTTAGTATGTAAAGAATTTGTGCCAGAAAGTTCTACTGATTATTGATATGTTTTTATAAAATTCTAAAGTATGCACATTTTTTTTTTGCCAAGCTTAGTGGTCACACGCTCCATCAGTTGAAGAATATTTATTGATAATAAACGGAAAATACACAAAACGTGAACAAGGGCTTCAAGTTAGAAATTTCTTTTATAAGTTCGAACCTGAACATGTTCGAATTATTACGGAAAAAATTTCAAACTATTTTGAACTTTATTTTAGTTATGTTAAAACACACGAAAGTAATACAAAGTATGCGTAAAAGTTATTATTTTTTTATCATCATTAATTTGGACAAAAGTGAATAATATCAACGAATATTCTTCGTAGTTTACTTTAAAAAAGTTAAAGCATCTAAAGTTTTGTCATATAAAAAACTTATTTTATAAACAAAAACCCCAAGACTAAAAAAAGCTCTCTTAGCTTCTTCGAATGTAGGATGAATTAATTAAAGAGCTTTGAAAACTTTATTAGATTTATTTAGAGCCTAGCTTAGCTAGCTTCAAAAACAAAACTAGGCTCTAAATTTCCGATTTCCATCAGGAAATCGGATTTTCTTTGTTCCGATTTCCTAATGGTCATAAAAAATTTGAGCTAAATTTCATTTTTGATACTTTTTCCTTATCAGTTATACTACTAGTATTTACTTTCTTGTCATCATTAGAGCTATTGTCAGATGGCTGAATGAATCGTTTAATGAGATTAGTAGCAAGATTTGTGACCGCCTTTTTTTAAATTTGTTTCCAATTTGGTCATCTTTATTTTAGACATTCTGATTTGAAAAGTACTTTATGAAACGAATTAAATAAATTTTTCTTCTTTTATTTATTCTAATTATTATTTTAATTATTCTATATTCAAATATCTATTTAACAAGTTGACTTAAAGGTGTATTATCTTCATGAAGTCTTTTTCTTGTAAATTCAATCACAATTTTAGAATACAAGAGATCAGCATCTCCTTTTGAATCAGTATTAATGTCCATTTTAGTGGTTTCAAAGCAACCCAAATTTCATTAATGAAATCAAGCTCATTTTTAGTTAGAGAAATAATAATCAATATTCATACCAGTCAGAGCTATTTTTACTTCTGTTTGCACCTCCAAAAAACGTTCAAGCATACTAATAGTACTGCTCCATTTTGTCCTTGAAGCACAATCTTCAAATCTTTTTCTTTCCCATTTTAATTATATTTGGTTAAAGTTCATTATCATTATTCACTGGTCTCTCTACGAAATTTTTTAGCTAATTTTCTTACTTTTGCCACAGTTTTTTGATATTCATGTTTCAGTTATGGAGTAGAATCTTCACTGCCTGCATGAACAGTTTGAATATCATCACCAATTTCAGTCTCATCTTTATTATCACTGTAACCATGATCATAATCTACAGTTTCCATATTACCATCAACAGAGTTATTATTGAACCATGTGCATCAGCTTTGTTTATTGTGCTATGCATGATTGACGTGCTCTTTATATATATAAAGAGCACGTCAATCATACATAGATGAATAGCGTGGTTGTAACACATTTGATGTTCAGGCTTCGTGTCATGACCAATTATTTTTTCATTAAACGAGTTCCATCAGTAACAGAAGCTATAATGTCTTTGTTAAAATTTAAATTAAATGAATTAAATTATCACTGATTAATTTAATGGCTTTTGTTGCTGGTATTGCACCTCGGATTCTTAATATTCCAAGCAATTGAAATCCTTCATTATGATGTAGATTAAAGTTCATATTCTGTTTTTTACTGAGGTAATCATCAAATGTAAAACTGAGTTTATGTTTATCTTTAATTTTCATTTTCGAAGAACTTGTAACTTGTTTCTTGGCTAACCTGAAGTATTTAATGAAGATTGCGAACGGTTTGAGGACTTAGAGGGATTTATCCCTTGGCACGAAATGTTGATCGCAAATTTTACTGGCAAATTTGACTTTAAGTAATTTTTAAAATATTTAGTTCGTAAATATCATGCTTTTTAGAAGAGGTGAAGCAATTTTGAAAATGAATAATGCGTGCTGCATGATTCTGTTGTTTAAGGAGACGGTCGAGTTTAGATTTATTTGTACTACCTCACTAATTACTAATTAGTAGTTGAATTAGGGTATCAATTATAAAACTAATTTGACTTCTCGTCAAATTAATCAAGTCTAAACTTTAAAATTATATTATAAACAATGTTTTAGTTTACATTTCGTTTGTACTAAGAAGTATCATAAAATTACTATTTATAAAATTACTAATTACAAATGAGGAAAGTTATTTTTATCATATTTATTAGTTTATTGCGTTTAAATTAATGATCTGTTGTTAGAAATCAGGCAATTTATAATTTAAAACGTAATCTGTTCTTCATGCTAAGGCAACAGCCTGTTTCTTTTGGGTTAAAATATGTTTCCCGTTGTGCCGAACATAGGTTCACTCTTAACGGAGATGCGCACAATATTTTCATTGAGAACCTTACCAAATCCCACTTAATAGTGTCTTTATCGGAGCTGGTGTAGTTGTAAACACCCCGCCACTAGTTCTTAGACCATGAATTAAAACATGAAAGTATTCGTGGCCAAGGTTTTAATGAAGCCAGCAGCATGCGGCATAGTTTAGCACAAGCTATTTTGACAGACAATAGATTAAGTTTCTATTGACATTGTCAAAGTCTTGTTATATCCATTGCTGCGCTATTTCAAAAATATATAACGCTTTAGACAAACTAAAGACTATAACATTATGGATTAACAATTCACCAAAGAGAGAACAACTGCTGATTGAAATAATAAAAAAGAAGCATGAAATCATATCTGAGGGCCACAGCTATTTCTTTACAAGGCCGAACACAAGATGTGGTTGGCGCATACAAAAAAGTACAGGAAGTGTTAGAATTAAAACACAAACGTGATGCTCTGCTTGAACAACTATCTGATTCCAACTTCACAGATGCTGTAAAAGCAGCAGATCATTTGGGGATTGATGTTGTAACATCTAGGGTAGTTTTCTACTGATTATATTTTTTGACATTGATTATAAATCGTAACTTGTAGTTTTTATCGATTCGATTTTTAAATTTTTATTTTAAAGAAAGTATATAAATAGGGGCCGTGATAAGTAGAAAAAAAAAATTTTTTTTTTGAGGTACGATAAAGTTACCAGTTGATCATGTGTCAATTTATTGGTAATTGAATGGAAGAAGTTTTATATAAATTGTGAAAGAACTAACCCCTTTTTGTATTTTACCATAAATAGTATATAAGCATAGATACTAGTTTGACAAATGTTTAGCGCTTTTAATTTTTAATAGAAGTTTTGAATATTTATGTTTTTATAATGTTTTATTCTCAAAGCATGTTCCTGCCGTCGATAAAGAGACATTAATTTTGTTTTGTGTGTGTTTCCTCAAGCAATGTTAGCGTATGTAATTTGACTATGCATATACTAAAAGTGAAGAATTTTCAAGTTTATATGTGGTACAAATGGTCTAGCTTTGAAAAGCTAACCAAGAATTTTAACTACTTAAGTGTTGATAGTTTTTATGTGGGCTTTAAATGTTTCCATGAAATTTTTTGGTCTATAACCATGCCAAGAAATTTAACTGTTTGGGTTCTTTAAATATTGTTGTAATTGATACTTAGAGAGGAAAAAAATTGATGGAAGTGCTTTTTTTTTGTTTGTTGTTGCTTTGAGTGAAATAAAATATATTTAGTTTTTTTGTACGTTTATTGATTACTTATTAGCGCTGAACCATGTTTTAAGTTGTTGAAGCTCATAGTTGACTTTATAAAAAAGTCATTGATAAAAGAAAAGATTTTTATCATCTGCAAACATTTTGCTATTGAGATTTATAGAGGCTTTAGAAAAGTCATTAATGTATATAAGGAATAACAAGGCGGCTAGAGTTGATCCCTGTGGAACACCACATTTTATTTTTATTAGCTTTGAATTAGAAATATTGTCGATTATGACACATTGTTGCCAGTTAATTAAATAATTGGTAAACCATTTAATAGTTTTGTTTTTTATATCAAATTGTTTCATTTTTTCAATCAAAATTTATTGGTTGACTGTATCGATAGCTTTTGTAAGATCAATAAAGACTCCATATACAAATTGTCCTTTATTAAAAGATGAACTGATGTTGTTCATGAGATCTATGATTGCATGTTCCATGAATGATTCGTTAGAAAACTTATATTTACTTAAAATTATGTTTTCTTTTAGATACTTATAGAGTCTGTTGTAGATTATTCTATGTGACTGATGAAATTCTTGATATGGTAAAAGACTTTTTTGCTACGCTTGTACCAATTATCATCAAGTAACACATTTTAAAAGCTTCGACTTGAATTCAAGTTAAGCCTAAACAACTAAACTGAAACTTTTGAAAGCTTTAATTAGGCTAAAGTCGTTGTATTTATTCCAAGAGCTTAGAAGAATTGAGATAGGTCTTTAATCGGTTAGTGATGCCGGGTCTCCAGTTTTAAGTATTGTTAAATTTTTTGCCATTTTTTGATTTTTCTGGGAAAACTTCTGTTCGAGTTAATGAGAAAATATTAAAACGAAGATCTTTTATAAAGGGTAAGTTATCTATTATCACATAGCTGGAAATATCATCGATGATATATAAAGCCATTTGCTTCTTCAAATTCCTCTAACTTCAAATAATTTTCAGTAAGTAAGCTAGTATGGTCAGTAAAATAGCTGTTTAATGATTTGTTCGAACATTTTGTTTGTGATGCTAGGTTTGGGCCAATATTTTTAAAAAAATTGTCAAATTTTTCAGAGATCTCATTTTCCTCGATTCTTGAGGGTAAAGTTTCTGATTTTAACTTCTGCAAGAAGTACTTTAAAGATGAGTAATTTTACCTTTTGTTGTGAATTTTTCCGTTTATACCTTATCGCCAAAGGGCCCCACGAAATAGCTAAATTTGTATCACCAAATTTTTGAAGAACTTCCAAATTTTTAAGAATTTTTCAATATTCATCTCATTCGAATTAGCCCCTATGATACGGACTAAGTTGTATGAAAAGCTGATCAGTTTTTATTTGTATGAAAAGGGCCGCTGATCAGTTTTTATTTGTATGAAAAGGGCCGCTGATCAGTTTTTATTTGTATGAAAAGGGCCGCTGATCAGTTTTTATTTGAGCAGTATTAAGGATCTTGAGAAGATGATTGACAACTTCGAAGAGATGTCAATCAAAAAAAAGAAGATGCGACTCCATTAGTGGGATGATTTCCAAAACTAAAACATTGTCAGGATTACTGATAATTGATTTTTGAATACAATTACCGAACAGTTTTGAATTAAAAACGTCGGATTGCTGAAAAGACATAAGACTTGAATTGGTTGATTCCAGTAATTGCAAATTTCCGGAGTGGTCAAGACGCTTGGATTTAACGTTACACTTTATTGCAACGATGCATTCTTAATTGGTTTTGAAGACCACAAATAATATTTACAACATTAATATCTCAAGCCAAAATTAATATAACTCCATTTGCATTGATCAATAACCAAATTTGTTTAACACTGGAGTGAGTTTTTTGTTTAACATTAGAGTGAGTTTCTTGTTTAACATTAGAGTGAGTTTCTTGTTTAGCATTAGAGTGAGTTTAACATTAGAGTGAGTTTTTGGCGAATCTTATGACACTGTAACAAAATTTGTCTCTTGACTCCAGTACCTTTGCCATTCATTCAAATATGAGGTTGATTTTGTGGTGGTGAGTTGGTTCTATCCTTTAAGAGAGTATTGACAATGCTTAGACAAAACTTGAGAAAACCTTAGGCACTATCGATTACGAGCTTAACAAAAAAGCAATCAGAATTTTTTCGAGATTGAATAACATGGTTAACAAGACTTGATAAATCGTAGCAGTGAGTAACAACCCGAAAAGAAAAACACTAAAAAATCCTTTTTTGTGTGTGATTCTAAAGTCTGCTTTTTTGTGTGTGATTCTAAATCCTGCTTTTTTGTGTGTGATTCTAAAGTCGTTGCAGTTAAAGAAATTAAGTTTTAACTTTGCTACAGGAATCTCATGTAAAAAGTTTGACTCTACAATTCTTCTTTGTATATAATATTTGATTTACGGCTCTGACCAGTTTTTTTCCACTCCTTATTTGATAGGCCAGTATTTAACTGCACATTTACTAGAGCTTGAATAGTAAATTTTTGAAAGTGGAAACTATTTTGACCTGAAATCAAAATACTTTAACAAGTCTAAATTGTTAGCAGCTGAATTAAGATATTTTGGGGCCCAGTGCTATTTTCAGTTCAGGAAGCCTATTTATGTGTCGCCGCTTTTTTTGTGTGTATGTTTTTTTTTAGGTTAACTTATATGTGCGGTGGTAAGAGGTTTAGGGAAGGAGGAAGTAAGATCATGCAAGAGTAAGTGTTACTTTATAGATTTTTTAAGATGTTGGACGTCAAATATAAGGAAAGATTTTTTCAATGAAGAAACTTCTGTTATGAATTTGGATTCGAATGAATTTAATAATGTTTGAAACAAGAGTAGATTATCATCATTTGGGTCCGAATAAATTTTGTTTGAAATAAGATTATCATTATTTTGCAAACAAAAAAAAATTTTTGTAAAAAAACCGCGAAGTTCTAATGGTTAAAGAAAAAAGTTGAAAAAAGTTCTTTTGAAAACGAAAACGTGTTTCATATTTAATTACATTTGAAGTTTATACGGGATAAAAAAATAATTCGTTTTATATATTTTTTAATTAACTTTTAAAATAAATTTAAAACCATGTAACTTTAAATTTAAAATAAATTTAAAGTTACATGGTTTAGTGTAGTTTTTCATTATTTAAAGTTAAATAAAGTAACAAGATATGAATCTTGAGCAACCTTGCTGGCTAGAGAGTTAAAGTGACCTTCTCTTTCAACAAATTTGAAGCATTTCAACTTTTTACATTTATATTCAAGCCCTGTTTTAAACGACACTAGACTTTGTTTTTTTGAACTTTCAGACAATCTTGCTTTTATTTTTTTCTTTAGTTTTTTTGTCATTTGTTCTAATGGTTCCAATGCTGCCATTTTTAGTAATGAATCTACATTAACCGAATCATCTGCAAGTATTATGTAAAACAAAGACTTAGAGCATTTAATGTAAGTCTTGATAATGCAGAGTAAATTTGGTTTATGTCTATTAGTAAGTTCTGAATGTAATTTATATTCTTAAAAACTTATTTTTTTTGGGAAGGAAACTATTTGTATATTGAAGAAAAGAGACCTAATTGCATCGAACTTTAAATATACAAAGAATCAATTACTTGATTTAAATTCAAATACAAAATACGCTATTGTAGTTTATAAAGCTAGAAAGTCTAAAAAGTCAATATTTTCAAATTGCGATTCTGTCGTTTTTTCCCGTGGAGTCTTCACGTTTTTTTATTCATACCTTTGACTGACCAGTAGTTGCTCAGTGGTGTATCTTACAACAACCCATACATTACCATGGACTCTTACAATTCCTACACTAACAAAGTAGTTTTAGAAGCTGTTTATTCGGAAAGATTAATTCCAAAAACAATTGCGAAAAAAAAAATGAGTGCACTAATCAAAGTCTAACATTCTACCTGTTTCTCAAATAAATTCTTTATCAGTCAAACGCGCGTATGACAAATAAACTAGATACACGACTTAATAGACTTATAAAAATTTTTATCTAAAAATAAACTCGGATTTCGAGGAAACTTATTGAATATTGCATTAAGTGCTTAAGTAACAAACAATGTAACATACAAGAACTTATAGAAAAGCAGTTCCGTTAAGATTGTAAAACAATCCAAGATAAAGCAAAGCGGCAAAAATTTATTTTAGACTATCAAAAAGCGTTTAATAAATATAATTTGCTGTAAAAACGCTTTAATAAATATAATTTGCTGGCAACGCTTGTTGTAGCAACGCTGTTTGAGAATCGAAGAAGCATTAAAAATAAAGATTTTTATAATTAATGACCTGCCTGGAAAGCATTACTTAGAACTTTATAATTTTCAAACAAAGTGGGGGTTGCAAAAAACTGGGTACACAAAGAACCCAAGGTACACGAACTTCTCCTATAAAAAGGCCTTTTGACCTCCCTGGCCCTCCAGTGTCGGCGGCCTTGCTATTAACTCTTTGATAATAACATTTTAAAACGTCAACAGGAATTTTTAGTATTTTCATATTTTGATTATAATATTTTATAATCAGTCTAAAAAAATCATCTATAAACTTTAACTCATAGATTTAAAAAAAAACGATAACTGTAAAACTAAAAAAAAATTATATTTAAACTATAAGTATATATGAAAGAAGCAACATAGTAAAACTATTCTTTTATTTTATCCTTTATTTCTTTAGCGATCTTTTTTAAAGATCAAAATCATATTTTTTTAAAAAGAACTAACCCTTTTAAGAAATTTGTATAAAAAGTTTTTGAGTTTCTGAGGTCTGATGTTTTAATTATTTATTGTTATTTTATTTATTTTAAGTTTACTTTTTTTTCCTTAATATTACAACTTTGTAATTGCATAATAAAGATTTGTTACCAGTGAATATACAAATAAAAATAAAAGGTTATAATGTGGTTTCACATATACAATAAATAAACTTCACTATAACACTGCATAAAGAACGCGGAAAACTGGAGAAGACCATTTGGTCTACTTCAAGCTTTTCAAATTTTCTTCTGAAATTTATCCTTTTTTTAAATCAAAAGTTTGATGCCAGATAAGCAGCATTGGTTAAGAAAGAGGAATGAACTTCCAAGTTATACGCTCTTTCACGGTAGTCATTTATAGGGCCGTAAGGAAGGTATTGATGCCGCAACAACAACAACAAAAAAGCTTTTAATATAGTCAATATATAAAAAATATTTTTATTGACCAGTCAATAAAATTGCATTGCATTTAAAACTTTTTAACCGATTTGTAAAAACTCACTGGCTTGGTATTGTACTAAACCATTTTACGCAACAGGTATATATATAAAAAAGTAAATAAAACAATTAAAATCACAAATAAAAACAAGTGAATTAATGATGTTACACAACTCATTAAAATATTATGATTCACATACTACTACTAAATAACGTAGATTATCTTAGATGGAAAATTAATTTGTTCACAGATAATACGTACTCTTGTTGGAATAACAAATTAATTATAGTACACTACCACGACCAAAATTATACGAACATCAGTTAAAGTAGCGGTGTACGAGTGGTATGTAAAAGGATTGGTGAGTAAGTAACACTATTAATTAAAATAAATAAACCATTTGTAATTTAGGTTACTGACGCTATGCTTAACCAAACCTTTGCAGAAATTTTACGAAAAAGAATTAAAGAAAATGAAACTTATTTTAACGAATCTTTCTATGGAGGATATTACGCTCAAAATCAAATGCCGTATGGAACTTCTCATGTATCAGTATTGGCTGAAAATGGCGATGCTGTTGCAGCCACTGATACAATAAATGCTGTGTAAGTAAAACTAAAAGTTATTTTTTCTCAAACTTTTATTAACTTCTTGGAAATATCAAACAATTTTTTTTTTAAGTTTTGGCGGACTTGTTCGCTCAAATAATACAGGAATTATTTATAACAATGAAATGGACGACTTTTCTTCACCTTCTTTAATGAATAAATGGGGTTATTATCCTTCAAAAGCTAATTATATACAACCTGGTAAACGCCCTTTGTCGTCAATGAGTCCAATTATTGTAGTAGATTCTTTAGGTGATGTGATTATGGTTGTTGGAGGATCCGGTGGGTCAAGGATAATCTCTGGAACAACTTTTGTACGTTTGCTCGGTTTTTTTTCTAACATTTGTATATTAGTTAGGTTAAATTTTGTATGTGTTGCTTTGCTGTTTTTTTATTTAACTTTTGTATGCATTACTTCTGCTGTTTAGCTGATTTAACTTTTGTATTATAGTGTTTTATCACTCCAAAAAATGTTTCTAAAAATTTTGAAATTTTGAAATTTATTTATAGACATTGTTTCGGAAATTATTTTTGGACATGGAGTTAGGCGAAGCAATAGCAGAAGAAAGAGTACATACCCACTTGTCACCCAACGAAGTATATATTACGGAAAAATACCCGATCTCTCAGGTTATGCAAGACGGGTTAAAAAAATTAGGTCATATTCTTACAACTTCACCTTATTGGGTAGCAGTGCAAGCGATTTATAGGAAAGCAGCTGGTGAACAAATTAGCGCAAAGTCTGATCCTCGTAAAGGCGGTCTTCCTGATGGTTACTAGAATTTTATAATTGATGGTTACTAGACTTAGTTTCTTTATTTTCTTCATTAAAAACTAAAATTATCTGATATTTAATTGGTTTTTAAATGTATATATATTCAGAATTAATGCTAATAATTTAGTGAAATACATGTCCAGTTCAAGATAAAGTATCCTCCTATAAAAACAATAAAAGTATATAATTTTTTATTATTTTTATTAAAATATTAAACACAAAAGCGTGGTTATAGTGCCAAATAAAATTATTGTTTTTAAAAACGTTTACTGTTACCTAATAATTATGTTCTATATAATAAAATGACAATGGTTATCAAATGTGCAAAGCACCTTAAATTTCTGTAGCATTTATAAAAGTTATCTCAGTTCTAAATGTTGTAAAACATAGCATATATTCTGTAGATAAAGATATCTCAGTTCTAAATATTATAAAACATAGCATATATTTTAATTACTCAAATTTTAACTATTTACTTATGATGACTATTATCATGATGATGGTATAGCGGTATCATACACTTTTAAGAAAAGAAATCACGATTATATTACCTAATATAACAACGCAGTGATCTGTAATTAGTAACTAAGAAGATCATCAATAAACAGTATGATTTTTAGTAATATTTATTGAAAATAATAACATTTACAAAATATAAATCAAAAACTAAATTTAATTGAAAAGGCGTTATTTTTACACCACATAGTTAGACACCTTGACGTTTTAATTTAACACCTTGCTACATTTTGACATCTTAACGTCAGCTACATCTTTTATTTTGAGACTTTTTTGTACACCCTCGTGTCAATGGTGTTTATATACCCTGATGTCAATGGATCTATACACCGTGATGATTTAAAAGAAAATTTTTTCGATTCTTTTTAATTATATAAACAAAACTAAAAGTCCCTATAATTAGTTCAACAGAATCGGATTAAATCGGACAACGACAATTGGACCAACTACAACCGGACCAACAACAATCGGACCAACCAGACTATTTATTATTTTACTAAAACCGAATAAAAAATGATTCTGTAAATGATTTTAAATGCGTAAACCATAACTATTGAGAAATATTTTTTCGAAATTTTGTCCTCCAATTATCTTCTATTGGAAGATAATTGGAGGTTTACTAAAAAAAATAAGGAATATTATTCAAAATGAATTCGATCGATATCATGAAAGATACAGGCAATTTTAGTCTATTGTTGGACAGTCTTCACTTAGAGTATGCCATTTAACAACTCTTTTATCTTCAAAGTTTTAAACCAATATTTTAATGCTTCTGGTGTTGATTGTATTCCAAGAGTGATTCCCCCGAAAAACAAATTTTTGTGTAAAAACAAATGGTGAAACCGAGCGGGCATAAGTCGTTTATAATATATAAAAAAAAAAAGAGAAAATAAATTTTAAATTATCACTCTTTATCAAAAAATATAAAATGTTAGAAACCTACGAAGTCGTTTGTTCTGCCGACATCATGATCCCACACTGTTATATGTAGTGTTCTTTTTGCTAACTCGTGATGAGCAATTTTGCAAGTAAACTTCTAAATAGTATACAAATAAATAGTATACAAAATACTATAACAAATAAATAAATATAACAAAAGTAAAGTAAGCAAAATTGTTTTGAAATTCAAAAAATTCATTAGAGAGGGACAAATACTTGATTATCAAAAATCGATGGACGAATTTTCGTTAAAAATATTTGTTTATTAGCAACTTATTGCAAGCATTGCCTTCTAAACGATGCTGCCCTTGGTAGGATACTCTTCAGATGTTTATTGTAGACAAATATCGGTTGACAAACTGTAACCAAAACTCCTTTTTTACAAACAAATTGTTTTCCATTTTTTTTTAAACTTTGTCTATAACGCCTAAAAGTATATGCAGACTGGGAATATTAACAAGCTCTATCAAGCTCAGATCGTAACAACCACTCTAACAGAAATAAAAGTTAATTTTTGTTGTTGTTGTTGTTGTTTATTTATTAATAGCTATTCATAAAGCTTTTGTCTGGAATGAACAAATTTTCAATAATTATTTTCCAGACAACAATTATTCCTTTATTATTCTTTTATAATTACTCTAGTTTTTCATTTCCACTTTCTTTTTGGTTAAATTAGTTTTTAACAACACCTACGCTGAATAAAAGAAGCCAAAATACAAAACTAAAATAATAAAATAAATAATAAAAATAAATAAATAAAAAATAATAAAATAAATAAATATTATAATTTATAAAATAAATAAAAAGAATAAAATTGCAAAATGCAGAGCCGTTTCCAAAGCAAGAACAATCCAGACACTCTTTTAAAAATGCTTTTAAACGATTGATTTGTAAATAACAACAAGACTAATGTAATAAAAAAACTTTTCATAACCACAACAACCGCTTATTTTAATTTATTTAATATAGTGAATTTAGTAGGGTGGTCCAAAAAAACACACTTTTAAATTTAAAATGATATGGTCATATATATGAAGTGTCTTGAAGTTATTTTATTATTTTATTATACAGATGGAATAATATCAAGTGCTTTTTTTTTCAGTAAATTTTTGTTACTTTTTTTACTTTAAAATTTCAAAAATTTAAAGTAGAAAAGTTAACAAAAGTGCTTATCACAATATTTAAACAACTAGATTCTAATCACATATCTAAAATGAGACCCGAGCAAGCTTTTTGTTTTTGATTGAGAATTTAACTTTTGTAACGACATAGAGCAAACTCAAAACATTTAAATATTCATGTTTATGTAAAGCTTTTCAAAAGAATTGCGATAATCGGAGTCTGTTAACAATAAACCCTTAAAATATAAACTTCCCATTTCGTCGCTATTTTCATCGTTCTCATACTAATAGCATATTATGCCATTAGTGCGATAGCTATGAGTTTATAACATTTATATATAGGTACATTTTTTAACATTTTAAACTAAATTTAAGTTTATTAACAAGTCTCTAATGCCATGCAATAATCTCTTAGTGTTCAAATACTATGACCATATAATTTTGAGCAACCTTCCCAATCATTTAGGGGATTTAAAATATTACCTTTAATTAAGTTATAAGTTCGTCTGACAATCAGATTCAGTTTCTCATTCTCAAAGTTCGGAGCAAAAGTTAATTTGAATCTTTTTTCGTGAATAACTAATCAAATGACGCGGACTTAAAATTTGTTGAAGAACAACGAAGAAAATTAAGTTTTTATAAGTGACTTAGTCTATTTATAAGTGACTTTAGTCTATAAGACTTAGTCTATTTATAAGTGACTTTAGAAGACTTAGTCTATTTATAAGATCATTTTTTTTTTAAACTATAATATTTTTAAAATTATTTTTATTATTTATATTTTGATAATTATCATATTAATTGTTTTTCAAATTTAATTTCGTCGTTGATTATTGTTTTTTTTATATTACAAAAAGACATTTTCTAATTTAATTCTAAAAGACAATTTCTAATAAAATCAAGCATTGCTTGATTTTTAATTTTTAAAATTTTTTATTTTTATAAACTTGCCTTTACAAATTATTGCTTTTTTTGTAAAATACGAATGGTGAAGGCAAAGAAAAACACAAAAATATTCTTATTGTCAAGCCCCTAAATATCCATGCATAATAAAGTCATTAAAAACTTGTCATAAAATATTGATGATCATGTACTTTTCTTAAGATTGAGTTTAATAAGTTTATTTTAGTTAATAGTTATAGTTTTGTATATTTTGGGAGTATATCTAGAAATTAATATGTAAAGCTGAAATACCAAATTCTTTCGTTTTAGTTATTTTTTTTATTTTAGAAAAAGAGAAATCATTTTCTAAAAAAACAAACAGAAGAAATTATAATGATTTACGCAATGATTTACGTAATGAGTTACGCAAGACAATTTCTTCTGGACAATTGTTTATAACGCTAATTCAGTATAGAAATCAGCGATTGCAAAACAAGCAATTCCCTTTTTGGATTTGCACGAAAACTGATTACGAAAGTATTCCCTTGAGAGAATTCCGCACGAGGAATTCTCGCTTAAAAGCCGTTGCGCTGAACTTAATGACAGTTTGAATTTCAACACGAAACTACACATAGTTTTTAAACTCGATGCAACAATTTAATATACAAATAAATATTAAATAAAAACCAACGTTAAATTCTCTTCATAATAAATAAGAAGACAAATGATTACAGAAATTAAACATGAATAACTGAAATTTTGAATAATTTTGTTTTTTTGACATAAATAAAATGGTTTAAAAAATCTTCATGAAAATATAAATTAAACAAAAGACAAGATTTAATTTTAAATTGATTTAAATATAAGTATTGCGTGGTATTATACAACGTGAAAAGCAATTTAAAAAAGTTTCATAATTTGAAAATACGGCTAATTTGAAAATAACCCTAACCCTGGCGATTCATTATATCACCAAACCGATTAGAGTTACTTATTCAACAGCATCTTTAACTATTAGTATTATTAATAGTTACGTACAAAATGAGGTCTTTTGATGTGTTGTTAAAAACCATTTAAACTCCTTTAAAGACTTTATGGTGACCAATGGTAACCAATAATATAATAATATAATAACCCTAACTTGCGTAAATTTTGAGATGTATTGATTGTTTGAATTGATTATTATATTATAAATAACCAATGATTTTGGTTAATAAATATATTTTTTATAAATAAAACACACCTAAGTGCCACACTTAAGTATGTTCTTCTTTATATCACATTAGAATGTTTAAGAAAATGTTGAAACAACCATCTTATTCGGTTTAGGTGTAAACTTTATTTAATCATAACCTTAGAATTTTAAATTTTAAAACCTGCGGACTTTAATTTAAGAAACGTAAGAAAAAAAAAAATAAAAGTTACTAAATTGTTGCCTTCACATTTGGGGTACAGGTGGTAAATGTTTTTTTCCTCCAATTACTGGATGCTCCAATCACTAGATGTGTAGATTAAGATTATTTCTTCATCTACGTATAAATCGTTGCTTAGCTACAGCTCGGGTTATACGTATATTACCCAGTGGCGTAGCAAAATATTTTGATCAGTAGACGTACGCGGTCAAGGTGCTCAATTTTCTTTCTTTTATTTATTTGTTATTTAGGTGCCCCAAGAAGTCCTGACGGTCTTGTCACAG